GAATCAAAGAATGTTAATGGCCTCTTGAAACTGGAAAAAGCAAGGAAATGGATTATTTTCCAGAGTCTCCAGAAAAAATACAGCTCTATCAACAGTTTGATTATTTGCCTTCTGAGACTCATTTTAGACTTGTGACCCCTGGTCTACAAGATAATAAATCTGTTTTTTGTTTTGTTCTTGTTTTTTGCTAGATAGATGGCACATGCACTAACGAGAGAGAGAGAGAGAGAGAGAGAGAGAGAGAGAGAGAGAGCGAGCACCCCTCATAGGGAATGATCGCTCTGAAATCCTTTCTCCTCCATCTCTTCCTCTGTTCTGGATTTTGGGTGTACATGCACATGTGGGCAGGGTGTATTTCAAGTCACAGGGCCTAGGACTCAAACTGCAGAATCAGTCATGTGAAATCTGTCTGCCTGAAACAGCAGGCCTCAGAGCTGACCCCAATTCATGTTGTTTTAAGATGCTAGGTTTGTGATAATTTGTTATAGTAACAATAGCAACTGTTGGACAGAATGTGTGTCTTTGTGGATCTACTTTTTGTAATGGAGTTTAATGCTAAATGAATGCCCCTCAAACTTTGACTAAGAGGATGAGTAAATGAGTAGATTATAGACCTAGAGAAAATTCACCCCTTATTCTGAAGGACATAGGAGCCTTCAGGCTAAAGACCTGAAGACGCAGGGAGAACTAACCATTTTTAGACTTAGGTTTGATGAATCAGGAACAGCTGTGCAGAAGTATAACTAGACCAAAAGAATATGAGCTAACAGTACTAGGCTGAGCAGGGAACCAGCATGGCCTGTCTGTTCAAATTCTTTTTGGACTCTCTGCACATCATTCTTCTTCCAGTTTGGATCAAAACCTCTCTGGAATGGGGATCTTAATGACTTGCAATTAAGCAGGGTAGGAAAGAGAATTTCAATGGCCAACTATTGCACAAAAAGACAGGGGAGGGACCAGCAATTAGCGTAATGGCTATGTCGCTGGACTCCCACATAGTCGACCGCGGTTCGCGTCCCAGACCCGGTGGCTTAAAACTCAACGCTGGGCGTGTGTGCGTGTGTGCCCAAGATCCTGAGAGGAGAATGGAGGAGAAGGGATTGCGCTGTGTCTATCCCCCCTGGGGTGGGGGTTTCTCACTTTCTATCTCTCTGTCTCTCTCTGTCTTTCTGGCAAGCGCATGCGCCCTATAGCAAAAACCTCTCTAAAAAAAAAAAAGAAAGAAAGAAAGAAAGACAGGGGAAGTTAGCATAACATTTTTAGGCTTTATGCCTGGCTTTGGGAGAAGTGGAGTTCTGGTTTCTCTGGTTGCCTTGGGGGAGAAAGAGGACTGAGGTTAAAGTTTTAACTTTGGGCCATCATTTTCTGAGCCCAACAAAATGAATACATAAACTATGGGATGATCTTCTTATCCCAGATCACTTAGAAATCATGTTGCTACTTTATCATGTGAATATATTTTCCTCTTTAGAAGTTTCCTTTGATTAGGAGCATAGAACACCAGCATAGCGTATAGACACACACACACACACTCTCTCTCTCTAGAATCAGACAGACACATGCCAATAAACAACTGTGGGCTTGTAAAGGACAGGGGACACTCCCTGCTACTCCTTGGTATTCTTAACTTCAGCTTGGGTTGGATAAAACTAAATGCTCCAATTTGGGGCCCAACAGGGGTCTAGTAGCATGGTCCACACATCTCTAATGTTACCACCCAGGCTGTGAAATGTTTTGAATCATATGACCTTAGACTTTTGGCTCATGCTAATTAAGCCTCTTCTAACTGTACAGAATGTCCTGGTTTGCAGTGGTGGTTGTGTAACCTGTACACCTTTGCTCCAGGGAGTTAGCTGGATTCCCTCCATTTCGCTATCTCTCTCTCTCTTTCTTTTTTTTTTTTTTTCTTTGAGAGAGAGAGAGAGAGAGAGAGAGAGAGAGAGAGAGCGAGCACCCCTCATAGGGAATGATCGCTCTGAAATCCTTTCTCCTCCATCTCTTCCTCTGTTCTGGATTTTGGGTGTACATGCACATGTGGGCAGGGTGTATTTCAAGTCACAGGGCCTAGGACTCAAACTGCAGAATCAGTCATGTGAAATCTGTCTGCCTGAAACAGCAGGCCTCAGAGCTGACCCCAATTCATGTTGTTTTAAGATGCTAGGTTTGTGATAATTTGTTATAGTAACAATAGCAACTGTTGGACAGAATGTGTGTCTTTGTGGATCTACTTTTTGTAATGGAGTTTAATGCTAAATGAATGCCCCTCAAACTTTGACTAAGAGGATGAGTAAATGAGTAGATTATAGACCTAGAGAAAATTCACCCCTTATTCTGAAGGACATAGGAGCCTTCAGGCTAAAGACCTGAAGACGCAGGGAGAACTAACCATTTTTAGACTTAGGTTTGATGAATCAGGAACAGCTGTGCAGAAGTATAACTAGACCAAAAGAATATGAGCTAACAGTACTAGGCTGAGCAGGGAACCAGCATGGCCTGTCTGTTCAAATTCTTTTTGGACTCTCTGCACATCATTCTTCTTCCAGTTTGGATCAAAACCTCTCTGGAATGGGGATCTTAATGACTTGCAATTAAGCAGGGTAGGAAAGAGAATTTCAATGGCCAACTATTGCACAAAAAGACAGGGGAGGGACCAGCAATTAGCGTAATGGCTATGTCGCTGGACTCCCACATAGTCGACCGCGGTTCGCGTCCCAGACCCGGTGGCTTAAAACTCAACGCTGGGCGTGTGTGCGTGTGTGCCCAAGATCCTGAGAGGAGAATGGAGGAGAAGGGATTGCGCTGTGTCTATCCCCCCTGGGGTGGGGGTTTCTCACTTTCTATCTCTCTGTCTCTCTCTGTCTTTCTGGCAAGCGCATGCGCCCTATAGCAAAAACCTCTCTAAAAAAAAAAAAGAAAGAAAGAAAGAAAGACAGGGGAAGTTAGCATAACATTTTTAGGCTTTATGCCTGGCTTTGGGAGAAGTGGAGTTCTGGTTTCTCTGGTTGCCTTGGGGGAGAAAGAGGACTGAGGTTAAAGTTTTAACTTTGGGCCATCATTTTCTGAGCCCAACAAAATGAATACATAAACTATGGGATGATCTTCTTATCCCAGATCACTTAGAAATCATGTTGCTACTTTATCATGTGAATATATTTTCCTCTTTAGAAGTTTCCTTTGATTAGGAGCATAGAACACCAGCATAGCGTATAGACACACACACACACACTCTCTCTCTCTAGAATCAGACAGACACATGCCAATAAACAACTGTGGGCTTGTAAAGGACAGGGGACACTCCCTGCTACTCCTTGGTATTCTTAACTTCAGCTTGGGTTGGATAAAACTAAATGCTCCAATTTGGGGCCCAACAGGGGTCTAGTAGCATGGTCCACACATCTCTAATGTTACCACCCAGGCTGTGAAATGTTTTGAATCATATGACCTTAGACTTTTGGCTCATGCTAATTAAGCCTCTTCTAACTGTACAGAATGTCCTGGTTTGCAGTGGTGGTTGTGTAACCTGTACACCTTTGCTCCAGGGAGTTAGCTGGATTCCCTCCATTTCGCTATCTCTCTCTCTCTCTCTCTTTCTTTTTTTTTTTTTTTCTGTGAAGGATTCAGGCCCAGGTGAGCTATTTTCTTCTTTCTGCTCAATGCTCTCAGGGGATGTCTGGGTTGTAGCTTTTATAGGGACTATTTCCAGAGGTGGGCAGTGGGACAGAACCAGCTAGTCTGGCATCCAGCAAATCTCTGCTGTGCCTAATGGCCTTTTTCTCCCTTTTGGAGAGCACTCACCTACATACTCTGGCATGGGCTTGAAGGGAAGCCTGCTGAGAACTGTATCTGCATAGGGACAGTGGTGGGAAAGGTCACTGAGGGTCCATGCGAAGAAATGTTATAAATGAGTTTGTGCCCCCACAGTTAGTGGGGAGGTAGGGGAGCTGGTTATACATTAAATTTTATTTTATTAGATGTTCCTTAATCATGGACAGAACTTAATAATGGCCTCATAGCTTAACTATTAGGGTATTAACTTTAAATACCAGCAAATCCTCACTAGGGGTGAATAAGCAAGAATTCTCAGAATGTGAATGTGAGCATACACATAGTCCACTATCTCAGCATCAGCTTGGACAAACGTTTTTACAGCCCACAGTTTTGCAAGAGCATCTCCATTTCAGATTGTTTTACCTGATCTCTTTCTGAGGTGACAGAGATCTCAGAAAAGAAAGTAGTGCTTTCATTCTGGGCTAGTTGCTAAGCTTATCTGTGCCTCAGTTTCCTCATCTAGAAAGTGGGGCTTATAACAACAAAAACCAAAACCAAAACATTGTTGTGGGATAAATGAAACAGTGTATGTAAAGCATTCAGTATAGTCCCTGCCCTAGGTGAGCGCTCTATAATAGTTACTACACTTGTCATGACAAATGCTCATAAAGCAGCCTCATGCTTCAAGTTCAAGGGCAGATGTGGGAGTACAAAATGATAAGACAGAGTCATGCTTGAGGGATTGTTGAAGTTTGGTTAGGGAAAAACTACATGATTAAATAAGATTAAAATTAAGATTAATGGGTGCTAGGAAGCCAGCAGGTGCCTTGGTAGTTAAAGGCATTGGACTCCTACATGGCCGACCATGGTTTGAGTCCTGGACCTGGTGGATTGCTTTCTCTCTCTCTCTTTCTCTCTCGCTCTGTCCCTCTCTGGTCAAATTAAAATAAGTAAATAAGTAAAGTTAAAATTTTTTAAAAATCTTAAAAAAAAGAATAATGGGTGTTGTTAAGATTATGAATAGGATACTGCACATGGCCCACTGTTCCCAGGGAGGGTTTGGGAGAGGTCAAGAAGGGCTCCGGGAGACCAGCAGGTGGTGTGGTGGTTAAGGTGCTGGACTTCCACATGACTGACCAAGGTTTGAGTCTAGGACCTGGCAGTTTGCTTAAGCGCATGTGCCCTATAAATAAAATGAATAATTTTTATTTATTACTTTTTTTTTTTTTTTAAGAAGGGCTTCTGGATCAGACAACTCTACAGCCCAGGCTTGATGCTCAGGTAGGCAGTCACCAGGCAGGATAGCACCTCTTCTTTCCAATGTAATTGAGTACCCATCTCAGAGGGTCCCAGCAGTGGGGCCTGATGGCACGGATCTGGAGTATCCCTTGCACATCCCCCACATAGGCTATTTATATGTCCAGGTGGTTGCCTCCTTTTGGTTTGCCGAAAGTGGGAGGAATATTACCATGTGTTGGTGTAATGGAAAGGAGAGTAGCCACCCAAAATAATTCAATCCCTATGATAATTACAGGCTTATAGGGAATGCAGAGGAGACCCTACATCCAGCTCAGCTTCTTTCGAGAGCCCCTTCAATGGAGACTTCAACTACTCGCAAAGTAGAAGGCCTCTGCTTTGGACCCTCACTCGCAACAATGTGGGAGGTGGAAGGAGAAGGTAACTCTGGGAAAATGGACTCCTTGAGCAGATTTGGTAAGAAAAAGGACTTTTCCCACTTGTTCAGTAGCAATTAGTTCTTCTGTTTTTATGCCTTGCCCTTTCCTTCTTTTGGTGAGTCTAAGTAGCACTTTGGAGCTGATCATCATAAAACACCCTTTCTTTGTATTTCCTCCTTCCAGAGATAGAAGGACCTAATTCAATTTTGTATAAAATACATGCTCAGTAAAGGTTAGTTCTTATATAAATAAAGGCTAGTCTCAGAATTTATTTGGCCGGCAGGTAGGGTGGAAGCAGAACTCACACCTAACCTACTCACTGGAGTATTCCTGGGGTGAGCACAGGGCTTAGCCCGTGGGCAGTGACAGGGCTTACATTAGGTCAACGTCAAGGCCTGGGCTAAGAAAAGATCTCCTGGCTCTTAATTCATTTCTCATTCCATTTAGCACTGTCCTTCACTGACCTTCAAGAAGTCCCCTTAAGATACTTTTTATAGTTCATTTTGTTTTCAGATTAAAAAAAATATTGTCTAGATTTGTAGCTCTGAGGGCAAGGACCATGTATTAATCATTTTAGTATATCACAATGCACTTAGCACAGGCATTATGTATGACAGGTACTTACTACGTATACTAAGCTTGAATGGTGGGGCAGATGGATGGGTGGTTAAATGGAAGGTTGGATGAATGCATGTGTACACGGATGAATGGTTGGTTAGAAGGGTGGTAGATGGATGGGTAGAGGGATACACTCATGAATGAATCACTGGATATTTATTGATGTAGCAGTTCTCCAGGAATGTGCTCAAGTGTCCTAATACTCCCATAGCAGACTTTATCAGCAAATGCATGCATTGTACAGGAGAGTGAAACACACAACTGCAGGTGTTACTTGATCATTTTCTAATGTGATGAGGAAAAGATTATGGGAGGTAGCTGAATGAGAGATATACTTTTCCAGGTGTGCTTAAGAATAATAATAACAGCTCCTCATTGTTCTGGATTCTGTGTTAAATGTTTTATGTACACCATCACATTAAATCCTCATTGCAACTTTATGAAACAAGTGTTCTTATTATCCCTAATTTGCAGGCACTTAATGAAGTTGAATAATTCGTCAAGAAAATTGCTAGAGCTAGGACTTGAAATCAGGTTGTACTGACTCAGAAGCCCAGGCCCTTACCTACTGCATGGAGCTAGGAAATATCAGGGTGGGAAGTAGATGTGCGGCCTTCAAAATTCTAGCTGCTATGTTTGAACCTAGTCAGGCCACTCATTTCCTGAGTGGACAAATCACTTAATTTGGCTTCTCAGTTTAACCCTCTGGTTTAATGGAAGTAATAGAATCTTCTTAGCAGGAGTGCTGTGAAAATTAATGACTGTATATAAAATGCTTTAAGACACAGAGTCTCAGATCAAAGGAGCTCAAGGGAAGAAGTTTAGAGTGCTATTAGGAAAGAGGGAGGAAATTTGGCTATTTCTATGGGCTGGGTTTTGAGTGGGTAATGTATTTGTGAAAAACTCAGTTTCATATTGATTTTCATTGATAAAGAGTTCTGGGGAGGAAGTAAGACCTGGAAAATAATTTCTAGATTCAATTTTCACACTTTTATGAAACATTATTTTTAACAATATATTACTTTAGAAGGGAATTGCCATCATGAATTAATAATGATGGTAATGAAATACCATTGGGGAGCCAGGAGGGAAGTATGGATAGCCCTGATCTCTGCATTGGCCTGACCTCTCCACTGATGGACTCAGCATGTTGTGTTTTTTTTTTTTTTCCTCATTGTCTCACTCAGTCACAGACAAGGGCAGACAATGGAAAAAGAGAAGTTCTTTATGTTCTTACATACCCTACTTCCCAAATGAGAGTCTCTTGGAACGATTTTCATGGGTAGAATTCCTGTTCCCATATTTCTTCACCCTTCATTAGATTGTCTGACCATTATCCTTACCTTATTGAATGAATGAAAAAGTAAACATCTCTTGTCCTCTTCTGTCCTGGACAGGTACTATGGTAGGCTCACTTACACTTTCTCATATATTCCTTTGTTCATCAAATGTATATGGAATATTAGCTTGGTATTGAGCATGATTCTAGAATTGGAAGCATAATGATTCCTACCTCATGGAGAGACACATGCACTACTTTGCTAATTAATTAGACTGGTAAGGGATAGCAAAAGTAGTGAGGAAAAGTAAAAGAAAGTGGGAAACATGACAAAGAAGCATGACCAAGTAGGGAGAGGCCAAGGAAGGCTTTCTGAAGTGGAGATTTTCACCTGGATCTGAAAGAGAAGCAAGAGCGATCAGGGTTTATGGTGTCCAGTTTCTGTGCTAGGTGTGTAAGATACCAGGATGAGTAGAGTAAAAACCCTCAATGTGTGTCTACTCTGGTCAGGGAGATGGACAAATACATCAATAGTGACTCTGCACAGAGGTGTGCATGAGCAAAGAGTGAAGTGCTGGAACTCTTACCTGGAAAGTTTCCCTGAAGCATGAGTAGAATGAGTAGATGGATAGTAAGGGTGAAAGGAGACATTTCATTGGAGGGATATCAAGTGCAATGAAGACTCAGACTGCTGAAACCCTTTGAAAAAGCACAGTTTCTCTTCAAATATGGATTGTAAGTACATGTTAAGAAGTAGTGGGAGTCAGGGTAGGAGGGGCCTTGTGAGTTACGCTAAGGAATTTTCACTTGGTCCTCTTTTTGTGGAGATTTGTGGAGGCATTTTAATCAGGGGAGTGTATGGATCAGATCTGTAGTAGTGAGACCTTCCTCTGGCAGGATAGGGCTGGATGGGAGGCAAAGAGCCATGCTGGGAACTAATATAGAAGGCACTAAGAGCACAAATGTGAATGGAACCTTTGAGACAGGGTAACTGATTAGACATGAATGGGAAGATATGAGAGGGTAGTCATGGAAAAGGTTTTTTCCTGTGTTCTCTGAACAATGACTCTCTACAATGCTCCTTAAATAATGAATGCCTTGGTTAACTGGATTTCTTACCTTGCCCTCTCTCAGAGCTTCATCCCACCAAGTGTCATTGTGAGGAAATGAACAGCCAGGATAACTGATTAATTGGTTTAAGTTTTCCAAATATCTTAAACCATAAGACCATTTCTTTTTTTTTTACATAACATTTACCAACATCTTATATGATTTTAAGATTAGAATTGATCAATTCCTACTTCAAATCACTCAGATTTTTTTTTTTAATAAAGTTCAAATTCCTTGCCTTGCTTTCCATCCTGAGAGACCCTTCTTTTATTTATTTATTTAGTTTTTTGAGAGATTTTTGCTACAGTGTGTGTGTACTCGCTGGAGAGACAGAGACTGAGAACTAGGAAGTGAGAAATCACCCCTTCAAGAGTGATAACCATGCCACAATCCCTTCTCCTTTATTCTCCTCTTGAGATTTTGGGCACATGCACACATGTGCCGAACTTGAATTTCAAGCCACTTGTTCCAGGACTAAAGCAGTGATTACCATGTGAAATCCAACATCTTCACCACTATGCTGCCTGCTGGCCCTGAGGAATCCTTCTTAAGCTAATGTTTGACAGAAGAGCTCACTTTGGGAGAAGAGATCCAGGATGACCCCATTTGTTGATTTTCTTTTAGGGGAACCTCTTCAAGATTTTTTGTCTATCTATTTTTTAGTATTTTGCTCACTCTATTTGTTTGGCTTTGTTTTTATTGGCTGTAGGGTTTCTTTTTATACTTTGGATATACTTTAAATATATCTCTTGTTAAGTAAATGAGTTAAAATATTTTTTTTTCATTTGATGTCTTTGTTTCTTTTTTTTTTTTTTTTTGAGAGGTTTTTTGCTATAGGGCGCGTGGGCTCTCCAGACAGATAGAGACATAGAGACAGAAAGTGAGAAATCACCCCCCAGGGGGGATGGTCACGCCATAATCCCTTCTCCTCAATTCTCCTCTCGAGATCTTGGGCACGCACGCACACGCGCCCAGCGTGAGTTTTAAGCCACCGGGTCTGGGACGCGAACCACGGTCGACTACGTGGGAGTCCAGCGACATAGCCATTATGCTAACTGCTAGTTCCCTCATTTGATGTCTTAAGATCACATGAATAGGTGAAGATTCTAGGGAAAAGCTGCTGAATTGAGTTTTTGAAATGCCTGAGGGATATTGAGGAACAGGTCTCATAGTCCCCCATAGGGACCGTCTTGGTTAAATTTTGACATTTTCTTTTTTTTTCTATTTATTTATTTATTAATATTCAGTCACTGGACATCTTTACAGCATATGAAAAGAATTTTCCCAGCATGAATACATTATATGTTAATCTAGTCAAAGATATTACCATATACATGATCATTTTCTTAAGAGGAAAATATCCTGGCTATTGTTGAGAATTATGTTTATGCCTTTATTGTCAATACCACTGTTTAAATTTTAGCTGAGACTAGATACTAATACAGAAACCTTTATTATCCAATCTGATAAAGAACTCAGTTGTAAGAAAAATTATATAAGAAGATATTTCTGGGTCTCAGCAGATGGTGTGGTGATTAACACACTAGACTCCCACATGGCCTACCGCAGTTCAAATCCCAGACCCAGTGGCTTGAAAATCACACCAGGAATATGTGTGTGCATGCCCAAAATCCCGAGAGGAGCATGGAGGAGAATGGATGGTGGAATGGCTGCCCCCTACTCTGACCAAGGATGATAATATCTCACTTCTTTTTCTCTGTCTCTCTCCAGCAAGTACACATACAATGACCAAAACTATTTAAAAATAAAAAAAGACTCAGGTCAAGTAATAAATAATTTGCAGCAAATAAAACTCATTAGATGCCCAAGTCTTCCTTTACATCAAGTTACACAAACATTTTTTTTTTGGTCCATAAAACATTCATTTTATTGGATGATGCTTTGGTGTTATATGTTAGCTTTATAGAAGATTATTAGCCACATTCATGTGAAACCTATTATTGATTCCAGGGTAGGGGTGAAGGACTGAAGTTAAGGACTTCCTTCAAAATTTCCCAGAGCCAGGTTTT